ATCACGTTCTTTACAGTTCGGATAAAGTTTTCGTCGATAATCTTCTTCCCGTCCTCCCGTATAGCCTTTTTACAAAGGTCTAACGGTCTAAAATTACAATTTGCTATTTGTGGGCGGAAGTCACGAATACCCTTGTTTACTACATCTTATTATGCATATTTTGGATCTATGTTGGCGATATCTCGAGCATTACACATAATTTAACAAAAATGTGGTACGCCTTGAATTCAGGAGAAGACATGTTCACAGTCGTTTTCACAGGAATCGCATTAGAGTAAAATAACTTTATTTCTGTTAGTACTTTAAATATCACGTCAGAAATCTAAATACATAATAATAAAACAATTTAAAGATACATTTGAGAAAACTGTCAAAAATATCGCGAATTATGGAACATTAATGAGTTAAATTTTTGGATTCCGCATGCTTTTGCTTCAATTTTTTTGTCGTGCTCCGTATCTCTCCATCAGGGATATCAACATACCGATAATTTTAGTAGAGTTTTTTTTTAAATACAGAAATTTTGCCCAAAATTTATTGGAATCTTTAATGTAAAATTTCATAACTTACTATATGACGTCTGTAAGAGGAATTAATAGCACAGTCGGCGTAATTTTTAAACAGCCCTCGTAGGGTAGTTCAAATTCATTTTGGCTCTGTGGAAAATTAGAAATGTTTAAAAACTGACATGATTTTGAAGAATTTTTTCCTTAGAAAGGGAAGTATGGGTATAAGTAGGATTTCCACTTGTAGAATTAAATCTTTATATTTTTCTAAAATATAATTTTTATAATGAGCCTTACAAACGAAGACAATGTTGTTACCTGCTTTGTCAGCAAGGACTGGTACGTACTGATCATGTAATCTATCTCATTCTTTTTTCACTTCTTCATTATTTTACACAGAAGGATAGGTAATTTTCATATTGCCCCTCAATCTTTTAATACGTGACTAAAACAGGGATCGGATTCATTCTGACAAGGTGTCAACGTCTTCTTTTTCATTTCTGGCCCATTGTCTGGCGTAATTTTCAAAAGAATCCATAATATTTATAAAATTCCGACGCCAGTTGAAGGATCAGGGTTCCCTATATTTAGGACCTTTTAAAATAAGTGATCTAAGGTCCTTATTATTAACTATATTTACGTCACCTGTAATAACGTGTCCAGCAGGACTATAGTTATAGGGCGAGGAAGAACATGAATACGATGCATTTGGAGGATTATGTTTCAGATACTCGGTATCCAGGCCATGTAAAGTTTTTTTGTAATTGAAAAGTTTGGAACCAATGGTCGATGTATATTTGTAGGAAATGCAAGGTATAGTCTTTCACTTGAAATATGGTGGAATACAAGACTGGACCTTTTTGTGATTAAGAATATTTCCTATATTAACCGCGTCAATTCCTTTATTGTCATATTGAAGTTTAATGAAAAGAACGTTAATAACGTTTTATGAAAAAGGTGTGTCATACTCTTTGTATTGTTGAATAAATTGTTGCACAATACTCTTGATGTTTCTTCTTCACTATTGTTTATACTAGTATCTAAGTAAGAAGTAAACAAAAAAAATGTTTGAACATTCACTAGAACCCGCTACGTGTCTTTGTTTGTAAGGATTCTTATGAAGTTTCGATATCCAATATTATTGGACTATTTAACTTATATTGGTGAATATTGGCACAAGTTGGCTGTTCAAATGCACGAGCTTGCGAGTTCAATATAATATATATCACCAGTACAAAGTTCAATAACCCCTTTATTATGTAGCTAAAACATTTCCACATAATTTATTATAATTATTACCAAAAAAAACTTATTTAATGGGTCTAATACGTACTAACTTTTTAATAAATAATTTCATTTTGTGAAAAAAAAAAAAAAAAAAAAAACATAATTACTTGTAGAATTTTTAAAATCCAAGTTCTTCCAAAATACAATTTATATAATGAACCTTAAGAACGAAGACAATGTTGTTACTTGCTCTGTCAGGGACCAGTACGTACAACCTTTCCTCAAGATAAGTTAAAGTACAGACTTTCAAACAACATTGACAGCTGCTTTTCCTATAAAAATGGAACTCTTATTTTTACTTACCTTGTCATTGGTGTTTTTCAAAATTACTATGTTAAAAAGATTCTGTTTGTCACCAAATTAACCATTCACTGAAAAACTGACTGACGTTTTTCATACTTATTGTTAGGCCATTATTTACACACTTAGTTGTCCACGAATTTTCCTGTTATATCTCGATCATGATAAGGAGCATACAGCGGGTGTGACCGGTTGGTAGGGGATGCTCACTCCTCCATGGCACCAGACTTCTGATATTTTGGAGACATGTCAGAGTTTGCTCTGCTTCTATTTTGTAATATTAATGTTTAATGGACTTTTGATCTTGAATACTGTTCGTTAGCTCCAAATATTTTATTCCAATAGATCGTTAAAAGACCTGGTTTAATAAAAAACAACATAAACAATGTCAATCGTAAACTTAAGTATCTTTTAGTATCAACTTCAGAGTACTTTTGAATACTATCACAAAAAAATTTTCAAGTGAAAAAACAGGGTAAGAAATTTATGATATAATTAATTGTGGTAAGATTTTGTGCTGTCAAATTTTCTGAAAGTGCCATGGAATGTTTAAGTGTACTCATCTGATTCATGCTACTTCTGGAATATATAGTTTTACAATACTCCTCAAGTCTTTTCTTCATTGCCGTGAATATTTTAGTGAGTCGTAAGAAAGAAGCTTGAATGATCATTTTCACAAATATCTTTAAAAGATTTTTTGGAGTTTCGGAATACAATATCGTTATCGTAAGTCAAATCTATTATGGTTGTTTAGATTGTTAAACATATTAAAATCTCATCTGGCACATGGTTTTGAAGAATTTCATCCTTAGAAATGGAGCTATCGGTAGGTATTCATTTGGATTATTGCTTGTAGAATAAATATTCGATTTAAATTATGTCCCCCCCCCAGAAATAAGAAACTTGACATTGCCCACGAATATGGAACTCTTCGAAAAAATTAATTCCACGCTAACTTTGTTTTCTAATTTTAAATACTTTTAAAAGGACATCTTTAAGATAATAAGTGTAAGTATACTCTCTCCCAACTCAAGGTAAAATTATTAGGTCGGAAGGTACGGGGGATCTTTTTTTAAGAAAAATATATAATTAACATATTTGTTAACGGGATAAGAGAAACGAAAAGAAAAATATATATCGTGCCCTGCAATATGTCGGGCCGTTTTTAATACATGAATGACGGGTTAGAGGATGTACTCAAGCAATTGTTTAATTATAGCCTATTTGAATAGAACTTTATTTGTGTAATTGTCTGGTCTGTTTACATTGTCTATAAAATAAAAATTACATTAGCGAATCATTTTACAACAGGTTCAGAGAAGCAAATTGACATCTTTGCTAGAGTAATTATATTTATCTATAAAAAGAAAGCAAACAAAGAAATGATTACAAATAATAATAATAAAGTAACTTTTATATTCAGCATGACATTTTCACATTTTCAGATGTCCCATAATTGTGACGTCACAATGGGTTTTGCATTATAGCAAGAAAAGTCCTAGATAAAGAGTTAAGGATATCCGATGCTCAGCCAGGAAGGATAACTCCAAAAATTTATATTTAATTTGAAATGCATTAAGGACCCTCTCTACACTACACCCTAATTTCAGGGTACTTCCGTGTAGTTAGACCGACCCACAATTTGACATAAAAAAGAGTAAATTGTAATCTGCATTGTATAGTAAAATTTTAAATAAATCCATGTATTCTAAATATTATGTTAGACCAAGATAGAGTAATTGAAAACTTTATTTGCATGTATTTTCTCCAGTTGAATAATCAAAAGCAATTTTTCTTTGTCATTACTTCACTGTCTTCAAAGATTTTTCCTGGATAAAGAAGGCACGCACCCTATACTAGAGATGGATTAGTTTATTTTAAAATAGCCTCCTTTACACTATATTATTTTCTCAAAGTCCAAAAGACATTTTTCGTCAGTGTATAGAGGGTTCTTAAAATGAAGATTGAAAATTAAATTTTTTCATGCAACAATTTTCATTTTATTTTCATTTCATTCATCTTTATAAGATTCAAGGTCTTTGGAAGTCTTAAAAAAGGTCCTATAAAAGTTGACATTTTTACCCTATAAAAGGAGAAAAAAATAATACAGTTTTAGAGCAATAAGAATTCGGTAAATCATGCCATGGATACCATTGCTTATTAGCATGATATGAAATGAGAAGTGATTTGTGGTGTCTTGCAATGATAGCAAAAGCCTTTTACGCTATGTATTATAGATTAATGGCGGAAATAGAAGACAAAAAATCCCAAATTAGTATAAAAATCATAAAAATTTCTTCGAATGCCAGGATACCTATCGTTTTTAACCAAAAATATATTTGTTGATCAATTTGCAATTAGAAAATGCATTGCTCATATTCCAATTCGCTTTTTCTGCAAAAATATTGAAGATTTGACAATTTTCCCTAAATTTTATTATTAATTTTAATCATTAACTTTAAAGAAATACTTTGGATAAATTTACATAACTTTGAGGAGTATTGTGAGTATTTTTGTGAGTACTTTTGTCAGTACTTTTGTGAGTATTTTTACTTTTGTGAGTATTTTTGATTACTTAACTGCTAATTTTATAAGCCTGAGGATCGGACTACCTTAAAGACATTGAATGCGATGTATAAACATATGATTAAAAGAATTTCCAATAATTTGTAGTCATATAATAATCATTTTCCCCAATTCTTTGCGAGTTTTTCAAAAACATACAAACGTTGGATGAAAATTATATCCAAACTATAAATCATGTAAGATCAGAGGTTTATTTCAAAAGTTTGATTTTGGTATCCAGTCTGTGAAAGATGTTTTTTTTTTAAATTACCAATTCCTTACTTAATTACAATGTACTGTATCTGAATAAATAATTCCAAATTGCATATAGATTCAGGATTATTACAGACTTACGGTAGATGATCAGAGGCCTACAATTGTTGTTACAAGAGGAAACCAGAGAATGTTGTTATGGGAACAGTATTGGAATAATAACCTGTCCCACTATCACGTTTAACCCACACACCATCACCCTTGACCAGTTGGAGGACAGCCATATTTGTTCCCGTCATAAAATGTGCAGTGTTGTGTGACATTGTCCTGACCTTTGAATTTCCGTTAAGAACAATGTCCAGGTAAAGATAATTATCATCATAAACGTTAGTATTAACAAAGAAGACGTAAGTGGCGACCGTGGGTGAAGTGAATATCCCGGTGCTGGGGTTGTATCCATTTCCGTTATTATAAACAACATGAGGGAAAACTAAGGTACTTCCAGTCCAGGAGGAGCTGGGACTTGTCACACCAACTGTTAAGCCAACAGGAGATGTCTTACCTAATATAATAAAGAAGATATATCATCAAGCAGGTATAAGTTTTTTAATCATGCAATTTGAACATTACCGATTGAAAAGATACGCAATTTAAAGAAGTGTATTTTTTCAAACAACGACACTTTTTTTAATCGGTTAGCAACCGCTAAATATTCTAATAAGTAATGCTCTTAATAGTAAGAATTATCTATTTTAACTCCACGAAATCATATTTTCACTGACAGCTTCGAAAAGAAATACGACAAAGAGAAAACATTTGATTCGCACATAACATGTGAATAGTCAAAGAAAACAATTGACTGTTATGGTTATAATAAGTAATACTTTACATATTTCAATGAAGTATAATGAATCCAAAATATCACTGAATAGTTATGGCAAAACTAAACCTTGGGTCATCACTTCCATATTAAGTAAAGTAAAAAGGTGAAATAACAATAATAGGTCTTTGAAGAAATAGAAGTCTGTCCACAACACAATTAACATGTGATAATGGAGGTGGGATCAGGTGTGACTGTCATGGAAGGGTCAGCATCGACCTGTAACAACCGCCATGAGCCTTATATGATAAATAGGTAGGCGGAATATTCTGTAGTCAAATTAGGTATAAAATAAAGGCTTAAAAATCATTAATCATCATGATACTCTTGTTCTCCCTGCCATCTTGTTGGTTGTTGGTTTACATTAAAGCAGAAAGTGATCTGTTAGTAATTGACATATGTTTCAATTTTTTTGTTTTAGGAATTTGTGTTGTAAAATTCAATGTGGATCCGGGTCAGAATAGGTCTTCAGTACAACCTTGCTTGTCGTAAAAGGCGACTAAATGGGGCGGTCCATCGGATGAGACCGTATAAACCGAGGCCCCGTGTCACAGCAGGTGTGGCACTATAAAGATCCCTCCCTTCTCAAAGGCCATAAGTGCCGAGCATAGGCCTTTGCAGCCCTTCACCGGCAATGGTGACGTCTCCATATCAGTGAAATATTCTGGAGAGGGACGTTAAACAGTATACAATCAATCAATTATTGAACGTGAGAAAAATTATCAGTGTAATCCTCACCCCCTTGATTCCGCTCCCTTGATTCCGCTACTGATAAAGCAAACTTGGTGGTAAAACAGTAAGAACTGTGTAACATGCTAGAAAGAATATTTCTTTAAGGTGAATTATTCATACATTTAAAACTTACCACAGCTGTTCAAAGACATGTTCAGTTTGAAAATTTCCAAGGACGCTACAGCAGACGACAACTTTTGCTGGTCATTCTGGGATTGTTCTACTTCCGCTTTCAAACCATTAACTGTCTTATTAAGGTCGTCTATGAAAAAATGTTCAAAAGTAAAATTAAAGAAAGCAACCGTTTCACACTCTGTTCTGAAAGTTAAATTGTTTCATAAAAAGATACTGTACCTGACATCATTCTCATAATGGTTGTGTGATACTTTTCCAAAGTAGACACGTTCGTTGACAACTGTTCATTATAAATGGAATTAGCTGTAATATCTTCGCTCAACATTTCAAGTGAAACATTCAGCTTTCCTGACAAAAGTGTTATTTTGTTGTCGATGAGGACTGGAATAGATTTATCTATCTCTAGAGTGTGTTTATTTAGATTTAAAAGAGTCACTGACAAAAACCTAACTTCTGTTTTAATATCGTCCAGTATACCGGAAGTGTTTTTCTCATATTCCTGCCTTTTTGAGTCCAATTCCCTCTTATATTCTACGCGACTAGTTGCAACAAGAGTGAAATTTTCCTCAATTTCTTCAAACTTTTTATCAATTTCGCCAAATACCTGTAGGAATTTTGTATTTATATCGGTAAATCCTTGTTCGAATTTAGTAACCTGCTCCTTCATTTGTTGGTTTTCAGACTTCAGTGTCTGCACCTCTTGTTTTAAATTCACGAATTCTTTCTCCGCGTCCTGGAGTCGTCCGTCGCTGGCAGCCATACTTTGTTTCATTTCCACCATGTCCTTCATCAGAGCGTGGACGTTCTTCACCAGCGCCATTCTGATCAGAGTCTCCTGGTTCAGTAGCTGTCTGAAGACATCGGTGTTTGGTTTCCCACCAACTGGTTCCTGTCCCAGCAAACTAGTAACGTTCTTATGTCGTCATCGGTACGAGCAGACAACCCGTGCGTGACTGTGATACACAGTGAACAGAAGACCATGCAGACAACATCGTTGCATATGGCTATGATGCTAAATCTACAAAAATATGCGCTTTTATATGCAAATCGTCAAAGAAGGGCTTCAGTATGTCGAGGAGAACAATACTTACAATATAGATTTTGTACACTTTTGTACACTTATCTTTCCTTTCATTTTCTTTATAGCTGTTATTTACAAATTTTATTACAAAGACATCACAAAGACTTTAAAGTAGGTATATCTGACAGTTGTTTTTTGTATCTTATCTCAAAAAGATTCGACATAATAACATCACTCAAACATATTATGTATGAATCATGTAGGCCAAGCTTATTTACTTTATTTCTTAAATCAAATCTGTTGGTCATAAGGAAATGTGTCAGTACATCCATCACAGTTATACTCTGAATAACAATATGAAGAAATGTTTATTTTACTTTCGAATAGAGAGTTTTCAAAGATATATAACCTCTTACAAACTACTGAATCCAGTATCAAACTACAAGTTTGGCGGGTTTATGAGGCTTATTTTGTTTGTTGGAAGAGGAAGAGCATCAGATCTTGATTGAGAACGTTTAACGTTTTATATTTACATTTGCCAATGTCTTTCCTTATATGACAATACTTAAAAAAATGAAATTCAATTTTCAATTACATGCAGTCGGTCACATGATCAGACTTTCTTGCGCATGGAAAGCAAACTGCCCAAGACATTTGGAAAGTCTTAACTGTGACGTCATATGACGTATTTATACGTTGTGATGCATTTAATAACAAAGTCTAAATTCAACATTTTGTCTTTGTAATGTGAATAGAAATAAAAATATATGTAATAAAATATCATTTTTCGAGTGTCAATGGTATATGACATGGAGTCGGCACGAGATCAAATCTACTATAACATTTACTGGAACCCGCTATATATCTTTGTAAGGATTCTTATGAAGTTTCGGAATCCTGTATTTATATGGTAGTTAAAATTCATTTGGGTTCATTTGGATATTAAAAATATTCAAAACCAATATATTCTTTTGAACGTTTTATAATACCTGTATGAGGGCTGCTCAATAAATAATATCCTCGATGCTCGGAAAGATGCAAAAGATGCGTTTCAATATTTTAGTCTTAATAATTTAACTTAAGTACTCTCTTTTAATTAAAACACATGTCCATACAATTTTTATCCAATTTGTGATTGGTTTTAGAGCTCATTTTTGAGTATGACCCTTCGTATACTGGATTATGGCTGATCGTATGATTTCCTGGACTTGTTTCTTCTTTCTGAGAGGTGTTTTTTCAAGTTTGGAAAATGAACCAAGTCAAAGGGTGATAGATCTGGCGAATATTATTGTTCGAAAAACATCACATTTCTGTTCATCCCCAAAACTCCCTTACTCTCCATAGTATGGACGCTGTCATGAAGAAATATAATATATTGGATGCCTGATTTTAGTTCTTTCCTCTCAAAAACCTTTCGAATTTTTGTAAAAAAAAAATGCTTTCTAGACTCCTCCAAAAATTGAGCAGCCTATCCGAATAGGAATTTAAACATAACCACAAATATTTAAGAAACTGGCATATAAAACTGTCTTTTTCCCCTTGTAATTCTATGCTCGTTTCAGACCTTTTCTGTTTTTGTTAAGTGTATCTTAATGTAAAAATGTAAAAATGTTTGAGGATAATAAAGCAATGGATTCAAGTTTCATTATCTGTTTGCATTTCAGACAAACGTGGATGACTTCAATTTCTGATTTTGTTTTATATGATAAACGTGATGACTTTTCAATCGTCAACTTCCCTTATTTATGCAGCAATATACCTTCATCACCTGCATACGGAGTATAATTATCTCAGTGGATTAGATAAGCATGAACATGCTCTACGTACGAACAATTTCTAAAACCAGGTAAATTATTGACAAATAAGTTGATGAAACAAGAATATCAACAGTCTCGTTTAAAGTAATCATTTCGTAAGTTCTATGGTCGCTTCAATGATTTTGTCAGCAAATACAATTTATCACTGAGACAAATGCTGACTGACGTTTTTCATACTGATTGTTTATTTTTTTTTTTTAATTCATAGAATTTTTTTTGCTTTCACATTTACAGACTATGTACAATAGATTTGTTTACATTCAATACATACATATACTATATAATTTTTCTTCCATATAATTTATATTAAATACTTTAAACAAATTCTCTTTGGTAAATGCTAAATACAAATTCATTTCATAAAGCTGCATAAGATATATGACATTCATGTATATTATGAATCTTCATTATGAAAGCTTTATATACAAAAAGTAAACAAAGGGGAGGGGTGAGGAAGGAAAACAAAGTGAGGTGGGGGAACAGTTTTCACTATTTTACCATATTGGTACATTTGAGTATAAATTTGAAGAACATTATAGCAAATCACAAATAATTTTCCAGTTCTTTTCATATTCTGAAAATTTACAATTTCTTAAAAGAATAGCCTTTTCAACCAGTATTCTATCTACAATTATTTTTTCTAGCATTACTATACTTAATTTAGGCATATTTTTAAACCTACTGGCAAAAATGAATTGTTTAACATTAAGTATTATTATATTGTGTAATCTATACATGTTTTTATTGTTGTATTTTCCAAACAGTATATCTTTTCTATCAAAATTAATAGTAAAATGGAAGTTTTTTATAAACCACTCCTCTATATGACACCATATTCTTTTTACACAGAAACATTCAAAAAATAAATGTTCAATTGTTTCAACTTCTTGTTTACAAAATGAGCACACAGGTGAATCAATTAGTTTAAGTTTATAAAGGTATTTATTTGTTGCAATAATCCTGTGCAGGATTTGAAATTGCATCCACTGAAATTTTGCCTCTTTTGTAACTTTAAATGGTAGTTCAAATATTTTGTTCCATTCTAACTCTCTAAAAGATATTCCATTATTTTCCCATTTTTCTAATGCTTTAATTCTTTGCTTTTTCTTCTTGATGAGTATATTGTACATATCTTTACAACCATTTGTGCTTTTATAAAAAATGTAAATTGAATTTGGGATAAAAGGTCCACTTTCTTCTCTTTTTTCAATATCAATACTTTTCAATATCTTTGTAATGGCTATTTTTAAACCGGTATATGCTAGAAAATTAGTTTGTATATTCAGATTATTGAGGTACTCGAGGCTTATAAATTTTCCTTCAACGTCAAACAAATCTCTTATGAAAACAAAGCCTGCATCAAAATAACTTTTCAAAAATACAGAGGAATCATTTATTTTAATTCTTGGATTAAACCATATATGTTCATGAAGAATTTGAGTATTACATGTTTTTTGACTACCACTGCAGTCAATGATTTTTACCCAATTAAGTAAAACCTCTTTCCAAAATTTGTTGCTTATTTTATTACACATCTTAACTATAAAATCTAAACCTCTTACCCAAATAGATTCAATTTTCATTCCTAATTCTGATTCAAAAAGTTTTAACCATTTCGTGTCTGAGTAGATTAGTCTTCAAATCCATGTTGATTCTAATGCACATAAGAAATCCATATAATCAATCATTTTCAACCCCCCATTTTTATAGTCTTGGATTATAACACTCTTCTTAACCTTATGTACTTTACTTCCCCATAAAAAGTAATAAAGGTCTTTCTCAAATTCATCGAGCAATTCCTTATTGGGGTTTGGAGTAATCAATATCAAATGGTTCATCTTTGGTATAATCAGGGATTTAATCACTGTTAATCTACCAATGGGAGTCAGTTTTCTTAATTGCCATTGTTTTATCAATCGCTTTATTTCATTTAATTTTGGGGGGTAATTCAGTTCAATCATTTCATCTAAATTAATAGAAAACTTTACACCAAGAAGATCAAAAGTAGAATTATTCCAGTCTAACTTCCATCTAGAGTGATGAAAGACTTCTTTAGAGAATTTTTTACTACCGATCCACACCATTTTTGTTTTTGTAAAATTTATTTTCAGTCCAGATACAATTGCAAAATAATCAAGCTCTCTTAATATACCATCCATAGACTGTGGTGATCCATCAGATATAATTGAAGTATCATCGGCATATTGTGAAAGTTTATATTCATCCCCATCAATTACAAATCCTTTTATATCTTTATTATTTCGAATGAGAATCCCAAGAACTTCAGCACATAGTAGAAAGAGATATGGTGAAATTGGGTCCCCCTGTCTGCATCCCCTTTGTGGGAACAAGTAATCAGAGGAAATTCCATTCTGTATGACACATGATTTGATTCCATTATAAAATGTTTGTATCCAATTTTTAATGGATTCCCCAAAATTAAAAAAAGTCTAATGTTTGGTATATAAACTTCCATGATATAGTATCAAAAGCTTTTTCAAAGTCAATTAACATTAATAAGCCTGGAATCTGTTTTTGTTCTGTGTAATACATTAAATCATAAACTAGTCTAATATTTTCACTTATGAATCTTCCCTTCAAAAAGCCAGTTTGGTCCTTATTTATTAATTTATTCAACACAGTTTTTAATCGTTCAGCAATACAGCCTGAGGCTATTTTATAAATCACATTCAATAAACTGATTGGGCGCCAGTTCTTTAAGAATTGTTTTTGTTTTCCTGGTTTTGGTAGGCAAGTTATTAAACCTAATTTATTTGATTCAGTAAAGTGTGATAATTCATACGAGTTGTTTATTGCTCTTGTAATGAAAGCACCTATATCCTGCCAGAAAAATTTGAAAAATTCACAGGTGAACCCGTCTGGTCCAGGGCTTTTCTCATTTTTCATAATTTTCAAATAATTCAAAACTTCAGAATTAGTCAAAGGGCCTTCGAGACTTTCTAATTCTTTTTTGTTTAATTTCAGCACATCATATATCTTTAATTTTTCATGGATATTTCCTGATTCTACATTCTCTTTACTTTTATATAGATTTTCATAGAACAGCTTAACTTCATTCAAAATATCAAATTGGTCAGTAATTATAGTTCCATCTTCCTTTTCAATTATAGGTA